GGGGAAATTAATGATATAAACTCAAGTCATCTTTTTAAAGGCACGAACGCTAATGTGAACAAAAGATGAAGATCAAAGAGTAGAAATGATTACCGAGTATCGCATTTGTCCTGTTGGCATTACTCGGTGCAATGTTGACCTACGTAGAGAATAGCATTGTGAAGAAAAATAAAGTGGATTTCTTTGATCCGTCTAAAAAATGCTAATATCAACACGACTGAACAACTCATCTCAAATGCACCAATAAAAATAGTACTCCCTCCCATTGTTTTTATTTTCACATCGACCAAGAAAATGTAATTTATGTAGTTGGAAATATAAAATTTTCTTACATTTTTCTAATATAGCCCTACATTAAATAATTATTTAAATAGGAGTATGTCATATTTTCTTGACAAGAAGACACATTAAATAGGTGCTTATTAGAAAAATAAAAAAGTACCTATACTCTCAACGAGGAAAGTGGTATATAATTAGGGATAGACAAAAAAGGTATGCAAGACTATCTTTATGGAACGAATGATGTAAGAAGAATTACATAAAAAATATATATATATATATTGAGTGTCAAGGTGATAAATTACCGAAACAAACCATTTGTCCACCTCTCCATCATGTCACCAATGTTAACAATGAAGGCCCTGCACTCCATAATTTGGGAGATAAAACATAAAAATTTGGGAAATTGGACTTCCCACCTATATACATGCAACTGAATGTAGCTAAATGAAGAAATGGCATTTGAAGCTCAGTTTTCTGTCTTTGAAAATTTAAATGATACTTAATCCTTCATTACATGGCAAAAGATTAATGCGTCAAATACCAAACCTGGAGTTCATAACAACACAAATTCTTGAAGTGCTTTCTTTGTTTACTGCTATACAACTACTGTTTGTATTATGATGCAGAACACTTAAATAAAGGAATAGGCATGCACATTTTTCATTTAAATGCCCACTTTTTCCTAGATATTTCGTACATCGCTGTTAAAATTGATGGATCATATAAACTGGGGTGACATCATGTTTCAAGTTACACTTTTCCTTGCTCTTCCGAATTCCAATCCTCATTTATATTTCCGTTACAATGCAAGTAAGATGGCCATAATGCTGTTAATCCAATTTACAAGCTTTAAATAATTCCTTTCATCAGTCTCAAAAGGACTATGTTTATTCATGATAATCATAACAGCTATGATTTTCCCCAACATTAACAACTTAGCTTATGCAACGAGCACAATTTTCAATTGCAATATTAAAAATTCAAAAATACAATTGATCACTGTGCAGTATGCATTGTATCATAGGTAACTAATCCAAATAAACAAAGAATAAGCGATTACCACATTTTATNCATTAAAAAAAAAAAAAAAAAATACTTCGTTTGACCATAAATAAATGTTCCTTTTAAGATAAATAATTTATTAATTTTCAATCTTTCACACAAAAACGGTTTTTATTTTATTGTTTATTTATTTTCTTCTTAATAATCTTGCTTAATTACGAGTAAAATTTTCGAGCTCAACAATACATGCACCAAGTAACAAGATACGACTAATGCTACCATATTCTTGAATAATAATAATAATAAGGTCACCACATTCATCTTCAGACAAGGGTTTGTGCAGGGTGAATTTTCTAGGGTGCTTTACCCATATTCTTGGTAAGCAGCTCCTGCATTTTAAAGAAATAGAAGTTAATCTCACGCTAAGTTAAATTAGTTAATGCTTTACAAGCAGAATCAAGAGGGGGAAGAAATGCAGAAAAACCCACCCTTTCGTATTAATTAATTATTAATAGAGAAACATGTTTGATACAAAAAGTTTACTTAAAAATAAGTTTGATTTACATCTAAGCTTAGACAGACATCCGTCAAGAGCCATACGTAAGTTTGAAGCGCTCTTCCATGTAGTCTCCACTGCGGATTGGCGGAAATCTGTGAACGGTCAAAACCATAAGCATCATTGCCATTCTCTAGTAGACAGGAAGGAAACAATCAATACATGGAAATATAAAGAAAGATGCTTTTACTTTGATTCAATTAAGGTATTTATATTTTTTTCTTATCAAAGTTTACACGTTCATATACCTTGGAGGATATGATTCACTGCAGCAAGTCTTAAGGCATTCCACCACACAATCTGGATTGGGATCCAAAAAGAAAGCCATCTACTAATTGCATTAAAAAAAAAATTGT